GGGTAAATTCCTAGCAGTGCTATTGCTGGGTCATAGGGGAGTTCTAGTGTTAGTTTCCTGAGGAACCTCCACACTGTTTTCCAGAGGGGCTGTACCAGTTTACATTCCCACCAACAGTGCAGGAGGGTGCCCATTTCTCCACATCCTCGCCAGCATCTAGAGTTCTCTGATTTGCTCATTTTAGCCACTCTGACTAGCATGAGGTGATATCTCAGTGTGGTTTTGATGTGTATTTCCCTGATGAGGAGGGATGCTGAGCATCGTTTCATGTGTCTGTTGGCCATCTGGATGTCCTCTTTGGAGAAGTGTCTGTTCATATCTTCTGCCCATTTCTTCACTGGGTTGTTTGTTTTTCGGGTGTGGAGTTTGGTGAGTTCCTTGTAGATTCCGGATATTAACCCTTTATCTGATATGTCATTTGCAACTATCTTTTCCCATTCCATTGGTTGCCTGTTTTGTGGGTTGTTTCCTTGGCTGTGCAGAAGCTTTTAATCTTGATGAGGTGTGACCACTTATTTTATGTAGATAGATATAAGTAAACATATGTATTCTTTCTTTTACACAAGTTAGCATGCAGTCATTTAGGTCTTAAATTTAATTGGATACAGGCTATTTTATCATTCTGGTAAGTAAGGATATTCCTAATATTGATCATGGTTTATTTCAGTTCACATTTCCATTGAATATTTACTATGTCCCAGTTTTTTGTTGGGCACTCTGTATTGTAAAGAGTTCAGTATATTTTAATCTGTTTTAAGAGTGAGAAAGGCATATGGTGAAATTAGTACATGTCCTTCCTGTGTAGCATTTATTTCCAGTGCTTCAGGTTGGAGAGGTAGGCGTTAGAGCAAGTCTGAATAAGAAGTAACTGTGATGGTTAACACTTGAACAGTTAGTCACTGGGCTCTGTGTGGAGTGGCAACTTGCCGATTTCAGATGATGTAGCAAAAGCAACAGAGTGAATGCATAAGACAAATTCCGCAGGGCAGCATTTTTTTCGGATTGTTTGTTAGGGCATCTTCTCAAATTTAGTAAAGCAATTAAATATTCTCATTTAGTAGCTTTAGCACATATCCAGATATGTAGGCTTTATTCTAAAAATGTCTTTAAGTAGAACCATCATAGTTAGCTAATTGGGGTTTCAGCAGTTTGATTGTTGGCCTGACTATCTTCATACATACAGGTTGCTTCTCACGGGCTAGTTCATTTCCCTAGAAACATATTCTCCAGTCTTTTAGGAAATGAGGATGGCGGCAGATGTAGTGCCTATTGACTGCACTTTTAGAGTAAAGGAGAAGCTTTTCCAGTCTTCTATCCCCGTGTCCAGTGTTCTTCTGATTGAAACTTCCCAAATAATCCTTCTTTCTGTATCAGGGGTGAATGGCTGGCTCTGTTGCACAGGCTTTAGGTGCCCTACTCTGCAGCCTGGTTTAGCTCTGTGTATTCCTCATCTTTTAGAACTTGTGCAGCACCTCCATGTTTTTGAGCTTTGGGAGGCGGGGAAGGGATTCTGAATATGAAGTAACCTTCCTGCATTTCCCACCTGCATACACTTAAGTTTTTCCTTTGCTAAACTTTTTGACTTTTGCTAAAGTCAGCTTCCGTTCTTCCATTTGCTTTTCATCTTCCAAAATTTGACAGCTTTCTATCCACTGTAGTCTCTTTCTTCTGTTCATTCTCTTTTGTATAGTACCCTGAACTTTTTTTTAAATGATATTTCAGATGAGACCAATTTGTGTTCAGTAATGTCTAGTCATAATTCAAGTAAATTATTTAGTCTAAAATTGTACCTGTATTTTCACAAGTATTTGTTAAAATAGCAACTTATTTCAGCTATATGTTTAGACTGTTAGCTTTAAGATGTTCAGTTATAAAGAATCATTCCCCCATTTAGCACTCTTCCTTTCTGTAGGAAATTTTCCTTTGTCTTGTTTTAACAAGAAATACATTTAGTTATTTATGTATCGGTTTTTGCCAGTATGTATTTTATTTCATAGGCTGTGGATACAATAATCTCTTTATTGTATAAACTATTATGATTTGCTTCTGATTTCATTTAAATAATTTCCACTGACCTAATGAGAGTACATGTTCCCTCTTTTCACCTTTCACAGTCAGATTCGTTTCCGCTGTAAACAAAAAGTATAATTGTGTCTGTGCTTTATGTTAAAAATCTGCCCACAACGTTTACCCATGAAACTATGAAAGATTAAGCATCATGAGTCATTTCAGAAATGCTTGTCAGATTTTTGTGTTTCTAGAACTTGCCTTAGTGGTTCTCAGAGTATAGACGTTGGACCAACAGCATCACCTGGAAAATTGCCAATTTGAAATGCAAATTCCCAAGCCTAACTCCAGCCGTAACTCCAGTCTACTCAGTCAGAAATTGGGACTGGAACTCAATAACCACTGCTTTAGAATAAGGATTATGATTTGGAGATGTGTGCTAGTTTTCTTTAATCTCTTAATGAGATTATACTAATAAATTTTCTACCTTTTAAGACTTTTATTATGGAAATTTTCATGCAAAAATGTTGAAAGCATAGTATAAATGAATTTAACAGTTGTAAACATTTTGCTTCATCTAGCTGCTTTTACTCATGAGCCATTTCAGTCAGTTGTAGACACATACCTCATTCTGAATATTTCAGCATTCCTCTGAGTCACCAAAGTACCATTATTATAGCCAAAAAATTAACAGTAATTTCCAAATATTATAAATTGTCCATATCTGGATTTTCCCAATTATCTCCTTAAAGTTTCTTATAGCCTTTAAAAAAAAAAACAAGATCCAAAGTTCATACATTGCATTTTATTGCATTATATCGTTAGTATCTTCAAATTTAGAAGAGTCTCCTCACCCTTTCCTTCTTTCCATCTCTTCCTGAATTCCTAAAATACTAAATTTTGTATAATCTTGTCTTGTAGGTTTGTAATCTTATTTCCTAACTCTCTTCTGGATCTGATTATTTATTTACTTGGGCCACTTAATTTGGAACAAGTTTCAATTTAGATTTCACAGGCTGTTTTAGTTAAGTCTGCGAAGAGTTTAAAGCAAGGGTGTCAGTGAGCTCCCTGAGAGATTATGGAATAGTTTGTCTTTCTGTGCATATGTTTTTTACTAAAATGAGAAGAGTAGATAAAGTTACTCTCATAATTTTATGTATGTGTATATGTGTGACAGAGAGAAAAATGATTAGTTTTGCTGCATTTTAGCCATATCTAATTTCTAAAGTTACTCATTGCTGAAGAATGTACAAATGTTGATATACCGTTGTGTCTATAAACTAATCAGGTCATCTAAAAACAGCTATACCATTGTCACTATAAACTAATAAATCAGGTCATCTAAAAACAGTCTAATTGAGTTAATCAGGATAACTAGATTCTATATCACCTTGAGACAAGATGTTTTCCCACTGTAGAAAATCCTGAATACTAACTGGATAAGTGTCTAGAGACTGGAGTCTGATTTAATTGAAATGTGGGGAAAACATTGGGAAAAGGTTATTTATAGTTATGGGCACTTTACTCTTCAGCTGGTACGCCATACTCACTATTTTGTTTAGATGTGCCAGTTAAGTCTAAGTCTTTGTCCTAAAAATAAGGGTGTAGATGGATGATTTCTGTTTGGTTGTCTTTGTTTCCACTCTTCAGTTTGTTACATAAAGGTTTTCACCAGGTAAACCTGAGGAGTAAATACTGTGTGTTATATGCATCGAATATCATCCAGATCAATACCTGTGTATCTTTAGATGTATTTATGTGAAATCAGAAGCCTCGCCTGTAGATTGCTGTGCTGGCGATATGAATGTTAGCACAGAGAAAGTAGCCCTGCATACAGGTAGGGATTTGCGAAGGTTTTTAAACAAGGAATGACATTGAAACAAACTGGGCCTTGAAAAATAATTAGGGATTCACCAAAGTTAGAGAAAATATATTTCATACAATATTTCCATTAAACTTTTCTTGCCGCTTTCTGACCTGCAGGTGATGAAGGGAGTATGCCAGCAGATATAGCCACATTACTAAAAACATCAATGGGCCTGTGAAGTTAAGGATTGTGAATTCCTAACTGATGAGGAAATATCAACTTGGTGCACTCAAGGACATTTACATTATGATGACCATGGGGTTTATGAACATTTATAACTTTTTATAATTTCCATATTACATTTCTCATAGTATGGACAACTTTTTTGCCACTAACTGAATTCTCCAGATGCTCACATGTGAAATTTAAAAAAAAAAAAAAAAAAAAAGCCACAAATATGTAGTCCTGAAGATGTTGAATAATCATTTTACAAAACAGTTTTCTGAATGGGGATTAGTTGGTGATTGTTTGTAACAAATATGCTAATGCTTTAGAAATGTCAGTATTTTTGTAATTATTTCTACCTCCAAATATATATATATTGTCTTTCACTGGATAATGTGTGTAGATTTTTACATGTGCCTTATTTGACAATGCTATGTCTTGTTTTTCCTTGTCTCCTTTGAAGTTCTTTTTTTTGGTTAGTTTAAAGGATGCAGCTGTATAGATTATATAGCTTTCATTTTATTGCTATTTGAAGCAGATGTTCACCACTGTCAACAAGAACTCAACCTGAATTTTAAGGTGGCATTCCATATCCTAACACCCCCAGGTCCTTCCAAGTGCTTCTGTTGAAACAGATTGGTTTGGCTAGGCACTAAGTTGTTTTCCAGTGAATAGTAACTGAAGAAGCCCTTATCTTGCTCCATGGATTAATTCCTTCTGTTCCTTTCCCAGCCGCACTAATCGTGCTTACTCCTCTGCCTATTCTTGTGCATGTTTTCATTGGTTTCCCTCTCCTGGCTTTTGCTTCTCTTGAAACTGTTGCCCAGTCACTTCTCCAGTTCTCTTTACTCTCTAAACAGTAGACTATTCCTGCCACGTCTCCATGTCTTCGCAAAATGTGGGTAACATTTGTCTCGCCTGCCAGAACAGATTACAGGCTATTTCACTTCAAAGCAGACCGAATGTGACTACATACTAAGGCAGCGATAGGTACTGCATGGAAATAGGTCATTAACATTAAACACTTCTCAGAATATAATTTATCAGTTTCCAGAGTATCCAGTACAGGACCTCCTGAAGAGAGAGCCATGTTCAATTCCAATTCAGTGTGGGTGACAAAGTGAAATTTAGAAGAAGTAAAGTTGTCTCTTTGATATTTAACTCTTTATTAAATCTTTCTTTAAAATTTTGCCTGTCAGTCTATCTTGCTGTTTTTATTATACATCAGTTTCTTTGTATAACTTGTGAGTTTCATGTGTTTTGTTTTTATTATGTAAATATCATTATAAATAAACTTATTTATAAATCACAGACTTGTTAATTATTGGAGATTATACTTTCGAGGCATCCTGACTTGCTACGATGCTAAGGTAATACAGTCTTCTGGAGTTAGAAGAGTAATGAAGCTCTCAAAGCAGTCTTCAGATATTATAGACTCTGAAAGCTCATGATTCAGTAGATTTACCCAATCTAGAAGGTATTTTGAGTGTATTCAATATATTTTAGTATAATGGGGCTAGAAGGAATCTGCAAATACTGTTACTACCTCCTCCTACATCACAGGACCCAAATCACTTAGATTGCAGGAATACTACCTTTTAAAAGTCTCATATTGAATTTCTCATTACTTTTCTGTGTTAATGTGTCTTCAGTGATAGGCTGTTTCTTTTGTTGTTAAATCCATAATAATCTTTAATGAGATGTAGTTGCGTTCTCCCTGTAATGCTGTTATGTCTTTGGCTTAATAAAAGTATTCGTGATCATAAGTTGTATTTTCACACCCTTTTTAATGGTTCTAATTCTCCCTTTACCCTTAAAAATATAATATGGAGCACAAATGAGATCATATGTGCTTAATATTGTCTGTTTCTCAATAAACTGAAATTTATTACTTACGTATTCCCATCAGTGCGTTCGTTGGACTGATGTCAGTGAACACAATAATCCATTATCAGTAAAGGGCATGTAAAGCCATAGTTGTTGGAATATTATCTCGACCAACTGAAGCAACTTTTATTTTTTAATACAACATACAAGGAGGTAGCAGACATATGCCTTATGTGTGTTCATAACTGTATTCCTGACCCCAGAGACTTAGAACTTTATGCCAGGAGATATTTATATTGCAACATTACTGTTGTTTCTGATTGTTAGTGTTACTGTATAGTGGTTAGAGTGGAGTATCAAGAGATTTGGTTTTCATTGACCTGAGCCAGACAGCTAAATGTCCGTAAAATTAAGGAAATGATTCTTACAACTCCTTTCTTCCCAAAATGTGTTTTTGTCTGATTACAGTATGCAACTCTGATTCATTCATGTTCTCTCATACTTGCTCACTCAGCAAGGAGCCATTTAACTTGGGGACAGGATGGGATGATGGAATGTCCTTCAGTGAAAAACAGTGACCTAAAGGTTAATGATGATGCTATGATTGAAATGAAATATTTCCTTATGAAACCTGCTCTGGTTGCATTTTATAGTTGAATTGTGATTCGTGTAAACAAATGAAATTGATTATCTTATTTTGAATTTTTATAATTTTAGATAAGCATTGTATTTCTTGCTTTTCCTAAATTCTATTTTTATTAAATCTTGTCAGAATGTAATTTTATGGCAGAAAATGAACATGCGTAAGAAGGAAGAAAAGTTACTACCTTCATTCTCTAGATTATTAATTGAATGAATTTCTTCTGTGAAACATAATTTTTCTCTTTAGATTGCCTTGGTAAGAGGATTGAGTACTTTGCAATGAGATTCACTTAAAACCAACATATTATCATTTATTAACAGCCGCTAGTGATAAGAAAATGTGATCCAGGGCTCCTGGCTAGCTCAGTCAGTTGAGTGTGAGTCTTGATTTCGGCTTAGGTCGTGATCTCATGGTTTGTGGTTTCGAGTCCCCACGTCAGACTCCACACTGACCATGAGGAACTACTTGCGACCCTCCCTCTCTCCCTACCCATCCCATGTGCTCGCTCGCTCTCAAAAGAAATAAATGCACTTAAAAAAATGTGATCCAAAGAAGCAGGTTATTTTGGAAATACACTTTGTTTTTATCTATAATCCTTAATAATGTATAAAGTATTTAACACCTTTTCTCTTATTTCGTAGAACATTGTCTTGATGAAAGAAGCACCTTAAAACAAGATCATACCTAGCTGAATGTTCCTTTTCTTTTTATTCCCCTACACCCTCTCCCCGTTTCTGGCTTCTCAACCATGTTCTCCTTCCCCTCTCCTGTAGTTCAGGCATAAGGCCATCTATCATTGGTCTGTTTCGATACATAACAATATGCTAAGATTAGACAGTCCAATATTAATATTATGTAAATTGAACTGAAATATGATATTCCAGTGCTATAATTATGGTTTAAAATTGGTTGAGGGATAATCCATAGTTCCTTGCAAGATTTCTAAAACTTGTTTAGAAATGGCTTGTGTGGATGGTGTTTGCTTCCCATGGTAGCGTGGGGCCATAAAAATGACTGCAAATTTGAGATTGTGCAAAATAACCTTAGTCATTGGAGAAGACTGTTCTATGACTTTTAAACTTCTTCCTCAGCACATTAAAAATATTGTTGCTTAAAAATGTATAGGTAAATGGAAAAAGTAATAAAATTAATTTTAGTAGTAAAAGAAACTAAGTATTACTTTTGTGAAAATGTATCAATACTTGTATAATTACAAGTGAGCATTCTTTTTATACTTTGGTAAATTATAATTCTGAATTAGTATCATCTTTCAACATTTTACTGCATTATCAGTGTCCTGAAAACTATACCTGCTCTATTTTCCTTTTTAATAGGCTTTATTTTCTAGAGGAGTTTTAGACTCATAGCAAAATTGAACAGAGAGCAGAGAATTCCCATATATCCCTTCTCCCCCCACTTTCATAAACGCCCCCATTCCAGAGCGGTGCATTTGTTTAAAATCAGTGAACCTGCATTGACACCTCATCACCCAAAGTCTATAGTTGGCATTAGGGATTGCTCTTTGTTTTGTATTTCATAGGAAGTTAACAAGTCCATTATAATATACACAATAGTTGTGCTGTCTAGAAATTCTCTATACTCCACCTTTTCAACCCCCCCTACTCCTTAGCCCATCACCACCACTGCTCTCCATACTTTTGCCTTTTCCGGGATGTCCTATAGTTGGAATCCTACGGTACATAGATTTTCACATTGGCTTCTTTTACTTAGTAATCTGCACTTAAATTTCCTCCATGTCTTTTCATGACTCCATAGCTCATTTCTTTTTACTGCTGAATAATATCCCCTTGTTTGCTTGCGTCATGTTTCATTTGTCCAACTTACTACTGAAGGGCATCTTGGTTGCTTCCAGGTTTTGGCAGTTACCAGTAAAGCTGTCACAAAGATCCGTGAGCAAGTTTGTGCGTGCGCCTAAGCTCTGAACGCCTTTGGGTAAGTACCAAAAGGCATAATTGCTGCATCATATGGTAAGAATAGGTTTAGTTTTTTAAGAAACTGTCAAATTCTAAGTTGTTTTTGCCATCTTGCATTCCTGTCAGCAGTTGAATAAAGGTTTGTTTTGCTTTACATCTTTGCCAGCATTTGGTGTTTTCAGTGTTTTGAATCTTTGCCATTCTAACAGTTATGTAGTGGTATCTCTTGGTTTTCATTTCCTTTCCCTGGTGATGTGATCTTGAGGATCTTTTCCTATGCTTATTTACCATGTGCCTATCATCGATGAGGTGCCTATCTGGTTCTTTTGTCTGTTTTGTAACCGTCTGCTCTTCCCATTTCTGTTCAATTTGAATTTGGCTCCAGCAAATTCATTTCTTGATTGTACTTCATCTTTGTTGACGAGTTCCCTTTTTAAATTATCCACTTTTTAAAATTTTTGAATGGGTTTATCACTGAGATAAGCAGGCAATGCAACTACACAGTTTGCTGTCTGTGCATGAATAACAGGTGTGCAGTGACCAACCACTAACAGGCTTCGAGAGAAGTGATATGGTAGGGGGTTACTCACGATGTGTATCTGTTATCTACATGGTGATTTGTGAGCTGAAGAGCTAGCTGCAAAGTTAATACTTTATGCAGTTAAGCGGAAGTCCAAACCATTTGGGAAATGTGCTACTTAACCATTGTGACTGAAATCCATGCATGTTGTAAGTGATGCAAAGTGAGCCCTGCCTGGACTGTAAACTCTTCTTTCTCAGTTGTAAATGATGTGAGGTTATTCTAGGGAGAAAAAAAAAAAATGGATACTGAAAACTAAATGCTCTCTCCCCACTCTCCCTACCCCCCTTTTTCCTTTTTGTTTGTTTGTTTAAGCAGAAAATGGCAAGATTGAAAGACTTGATTCAGCTGGGGAGGGGAGTGTATGGGTTACAGGGCAGGCTGCTGTGGCGTCTAATCTGATGGAAGCGATGCTGTGAAGAACAGTAAAGCTTGGAGGTAGCACATATCACCTAGAGCCTGGTTTGGGGCCTACGTTGTATCCAGTCGGCGATGGCAGGAAGGGCTTGAACTTTCTTCCTTAATGTTACCAATCTAGGATGGATGTCCAGCAAGTCAGGTTTGAAGACCAAAAGTGTGGTACTGCAAATTTCCCAGTAGAAATCTGCCCAGGTTACCTAGTTGAAAGGTAACAAAAATTGCCATTTGAACATAAAAGGCATAAATTCTTAAATAAAAAAATAGTTTCTTTTTGGGGCACGTGGGTGGCTCAGTCAGTTGAAGTGTCTTGACTTCAGCTCCGGTCATGATCTCATGGTTCATGAGTTTGAGTCCCACATCGGGCTGTCTGCTGTCAGCACAGAGCCCACTTCAGATCCTCTGTCTCTGTCTCTCTGTCTGCACTTCCTCTTTTTCTGTGCTCTTTCTCTCTCCCTCAAAAATAAACATTAAAAAGAAACTTCTTTTTCATTTAAAATTCTCTGTTAACTGTGAAAGTGGAAAGAGTATATGACAGAAGATAACAGATAAGACCATACTCACAATATCCAGAAGTTGCTAATACTACCACTTCTGTGTATAAGGTATTTGTGTATGTGTGCTCATTCTAAAATGAGGTCTTACGGGGGCCCTGAATGGTTCCATGGGTTAAGAGTCCGCTTCTTGGTTTCAGCTCAGGCCATGATATCACAGTTCTTGAGTTTCAGCCCCTTGTCAGGCTCTGCCCTGACAGTGAAGAGCCCGCTTGGGTTCTTTCTCCTTTTCCCTCTCTGCCCCTCCCCTGTTCACACCCTCTTTCTCTCTCAAAATAAATTAAAACTTTATATATAAAAAAACATAAAACAAAATGAGATCTTACCCTACATATTCTTGTATCTGGATTCACTCTCCACCTCTCTGTGACAATACGCCTTTTTATTTTAGACCCAGTCAATACTTTCTATCAACTTCAAAAATGCCCTTTACAGGACAAAGCAGACCCATTTTGGGACTTGCATTTCATCTGGTTATGCCATTTAACTCCCTTTTACTGAAGATTTCACAGTCCTGAAGAATGTCCTGTCCTCAGGATTTGTGTGATTATTTCATCCTGTTGTTGACCTTGTTCCTTTATTCTGCAGAGTATGAAGGGATAGAGTGCAAATTATCCCAAGAGAGCTCATAGTTGCAAGTTAAATATTTTCAACTAACACATTATATTGTGTCACATCAAAAGACATAATAATGGGTGTCTGAGCATTAGTGGAACCCTAAGGGTGATGGCAGCCTGGTCCTAGCCTTGAACACTTTTTCTTTGTACACTTTTTTTCCCCCTTTGTGACCAGAAACTAAGCCGGCTGACATTACTTTGGCTCCAGATGAATATCAAAGAGTGATGATGTTTAAATGTGGACTATCCTTAGTTTTCTTTTTGTATAGAATTTAATAATGCTATTTACTAGTGTTTTATGAACATGCATACTAAAACCCTGTCAGCCCAGAGAGTTGTATGGGTTAGCGGATTCAGAGTTCAGTCAACAAATACCTATGCAGTACCTACTGTGTGTGATGTGCTGGTCTAGTTGCTATGATGGGCTGGAAAGCAAAATGGGCTGCAAGCCCTTTCCCAGATGCAGCTTGTATTTAAGAAGCAGGAAGACAAGCAGGTAACTGATGGGGATGATAAAGAAAAAGTGAAGTGATGGTCATGGAGGGAAGACCTTTAACAGGTGACATTTAAGCCAGGCTTACATGATCATGGGATCCAGACAGGAAACGTCCTGGAAATGAAGCATCCTAGGCAGAGGGAACAGCAAGCATAAAGGCCCTTAGGTGGAAGTGAGATTTGTGTCCGAGGAACAAACAAAACACCAGCATGTGTGGAACACTGTGAGGAAGGGAGAGAGTGCTAAGGGATGGGGCCAGCTGGTGGTTTACAGAAGAATTTCAGTAGAAAACAGGGGAGTAAATTTTAAGTCCTTAGGAATTGTTCATTAAATAGGGCAGGGAGAGGAACATTATAGCAAAGACTATGAGGGAGTCCGTGAGAGGAAATGAAGAGGCATGGGGTGAGGTTGAAAGCTGAGAATAAAGATGTGGCAAGCTTGCTTCTGTGTCACCCAGAAAGATTCAGCAAACCGTGACCAGAATAAGTCACAAGAGTGGTGCAAAAGGCAATCTGCGTCTTGTCTCCTAGAATGGAGTCTCCTTGAAGGACTCCAACCTACCACAGTACCTGAATTATATTTAGATCTGAGTTTTTGTCCATAGTACTTTATAGATGGCACGGTGCTCCTCTGTCAGTAGTAGGGCTGTAATATCTGGTTGTCTCACTTTTTGTGATATTAACAATTATTATTAGTCGGTGCTGAGGTCCATTCCAACTATCAGGGGTTGGAAAATGGTAACTGTTTTAATCTCCCTTTTAACTTACTAACTAGAATACTTTGATGAGGACAAACTTTGCCCATCGATTTTTGTTATCTCGAGGTGCAATTCGCATAGGGAAGGCAAGAGAAATTTCTTATTCAAACCCCCCAACCTTTTAAAAAACCATTTTCAGAACAATAATTTGACTCCATATCATTTTCTAAAAGTAACCAATGAAGCTCTATTTCTACATGTAGGTGTTCGTGTTTGGTTGTGGTGGTAGTTGCCATCATGTATTCATTCATTTTGATTTGTTTCAATCCACTGCCATTAATATTCTTAGTGAACCTTGAATTGTTCCATCTTTGGCCAGTGGGAGCCTCTTCAAGTTAACTTTTGCGTGCTTTTGACACGACCCCAGTTGTCTTTGATAATTCATTTGCTTCTGGTATGATGAGGTATTCCCAGCTCCTCTTTCACATTTCCCTTCCCAGACTGAGAATGAGCTATTTCTCCAAGAACCCCTCATTCCTTTTAGTATTTAACATTAAATCCGTTAACACTTAGACCCAAAATCAGGGTCCTAAGGGTGCTCAAGACAGTTGGGTTGGTCATTGTTTCAAGAAAATGGAATACAACATGCTTTTTTCTTTATCCTAAGATAAAGTTCATCATGACCTTATAGTTCACATTCAGGCATAAGATGTTTACTTAGCTTCACTGATCTGACACCTCTATTTTCTTTCTCCCACACTGAAGATCCTGGTTCTCAGTGACATCTACATATTTTCTTATTGCTTTACCCCACAATATGATATACTAATATCAGAAAAAACCAATATGACTATACCCAGTACCACCAATATAATTAGAATACTCACTCTATTGCATTTTACTTTATAGCATGCTGCAGATACTGCAGTTTTTAAAATTTATTTATTTTAAGAGAGAGAGGTGTTGGGGGGAGGGTGGGCAGGGAGAGAATCCCAAGCAGGCTCCACACTGTCAGTGCAGAGCCCAACATGGGGCTCAGACTCACAAATTGTGAGATTATGACCCGAACTGTATTCAAGAATTGGACGCTTACCATCTGAGCCACCTAGGAGCCTCACATACACTGTGTCTTTCACAAATGTTTGTGGCAAACCTGGCTGAGGAAATCTATTTTGTACTATTTTTCCAACAGCATTTGCTCACTCTGTGTCTCTGTCACATTTTGGTAACTCTTGCAATATTGCAAGCTTTTTCATTATTATGGTGTCTGTTATCAGTGATTACAACTTGCTGAAAGCTCAGGTGATGGCTAACATTTTTTAGCAACAGAGTATTTTTAGTTGAGATATGTACATTGCTTTTGAAGACATAATGCCATTGCATACTTAGCAGATTACAGTACAGTGTAAACATAACTGTTTACCGGGAATCCAAAAACCACTCGATGTGATATTTGCTTTGTTGCAATGGGAGGAAACCAGTCCTACGATATCCCTGAGTTATGCCTCTACTAAAAATGGTACAATATTTACTTTTTGTCTTGAGAGAATATTTGCAAGAGGTATAGTCAAAATACTGTTTTACTGTGATATTTCTTAAAACAGTTCCACCTTAATAAAGTACATAGGAACTCCACACACTTCATGCATCAATTTGACACAGGTTCATTTGTTTCCCTTTGCTTTTGCTTTGCAGTGTTAGCTTTTTAAAATGTTTTTGTTGTTTTTATATAATTATATAAAATATTTTAGTTGATGGTTTCAAAGTTAAGTCCACTAAAAAAATTTATTTAAAGAAGTTTAGCTTTTATCCCTGCTCTCTGATCTACTCCCTCCCTATGGATAACTTTTTTTCCTCAATGAGTCTTTGTAAGTTTTTGGTTGTGTGTGTGTGTGTACTTGCATTTTTCTATGATGTAAAAGATACTCACAGAGTTACCAATGAGCCACTCTTTTTCCCCTAAGTATGTGTCCAAATCTTGCAGAAGATGAGGTCCATCATACGTAAGAAGCTCACTAAATATCTGATCCTAGGAGAGAGAGAGAAAAAGATCACTTTAAGGATAATAGGAAGAAAAAGAAATAATATGATTGGAAGAGGAAGTAGCTTTTTCCATCTTTATTCTCCCACATGGGTTCAGAAAGGAAGAGAAGTAGCTTATGTGGCGGTGGTTGCAGCTTTCAAATGTATGACATGGAGATTGGGGTCTGATTCATGATACTTAGTCATCCCTTTTTACTCATGGATTAAAAAATAATTTTGTCACCAGTTCTTAGAGTTTCTTTGTATATAACGACTAAATATTTCACCCACAAAATCTTTTCATGATTTTTATCTTAATCTTTATTGAGAAAAAATAATTCTATTATGTTTTTACATTTTTAAAATTATCTTTTCTTAGGCTCACTCTTTTTGAAGAAATGACATAACTGAGGCTAAAGAAATTTATTATGTAAGGCTAGGTTCCTTTAGTTTGGCAGTCTTTTATTTCACCATTGCACTTAATCTATAGTGAATCATTACGCTCTCAGGACTTGATGGTTTTTTTCTTGTTGGCTTGACTTTGTGCCTTAGTTTGAGCCCTGTGTGCCTTGAATATCATCTACAAAACCATCATCTAGGTGCACTCTTTTGATATATTATGTAAGGTGACATTACAAACCAAATATCCTTAGAAGAGACCACGGCCTCTTAGTAAGAAGTGTTTGTTTATATAAGAAAATTCTGGCTGATGTTTAACTTGGATATGAAATGTGACCCAATCTCAAAAATATTATATAATAAGTGTATACATGTATTATTTACTAATAATGATAACGATGTGTAATAAAATCCAGCCTTTATTAAGGCAGGTCAGGTAATGGATACTCAAGTCCTCACCAACTTGCTGATTTACTTTGTTATTACTGTAACTACTAGGTAATAGAGATTACTATAACATAATGCCCTAGGTCTATAGAGTACAGTTTGCAAAAGCATTATTACATATTCACATACATTTGCCAGATTTTATAAATGAAACATGGGAAGTTTGTCATTATTTTGACTTTATATTTTATCCACTGTTCTATCCTACTTTCATTCATAAGGTTCTCTCTTTCATGGTTAACATATTCATAGTTGAAAATAAAACAGGGTGGGTTCTTCTTCCTCTTACACATCATTTATAAGCTGAGCGGCAACGGGCCCAGATCCATGTGGCGCTTCCCACAGCCCAGCTCAGCTCAGCATTAGTGGGAAAGGGGTTTATGGCCAGCTTGGCTACCCTATAATAGCTAGAAATGGGAAGGGGTTGAATGGAATGGGATGTAGCTGCCGGAACAGCTTTCCAAAACTTCTGTATTCTCACCTGCATAATTGTGTTCCTTCTTCTAATGTGCATTTTCCACAACTTGAGGTAGGTACACTGATGCTTGTGCATACGCAGGGCCAAACAAACATCTTTTCTCTGTACTGACTTCCCCTTTAGTGCAGGTTCTCTTTATATGTTTGGTGAATCATCTCAGCGGTTCATGTCCTCTAATGACGTGTAAATTGTGACCAGCATAATTATTTAAGAATCATGTTAAAGAATACTCCCCAAAATAACATAAAGAAGATGAAATTTGATTCTACGTCCTTTTTTCCAGATGTTTGCGTTTAAAAATGCATTTCCTGACAAGTCCTAGACAGCCACTCTTGGAAGAAATTTCCTTCTTCCTCCAGAGCATTATAAGTCAGGAGGTTTTTGAACGTGAGAAGGCATTGCTATAGTATTCTATCAAATGACTTTTCTATTTCTATTTTGTAGAATTCTATTTCTCCAAAGCATTATTTTAAAATCCAAGGATTATCTTTGAATCCATACTACCTCAATAATTTAGTATTGGAAATGGACCACTGGAATTCATTCACTCCAGCTCATCCTTCATCCTCCCGTCCCATTCTTTAAGTGAGGAAACTGAAACAGATACGTTGAATAACCAAAGAAATACAAGTGGTAAATTCAGGGTGACCGATGTCCAGAAACATATTTTGCCTTCTAAATTAAATTTAAATTTTTAAAAGTTGGAAGCGGAATTTTTTTAGCAACCAGTACTGTAACATTTATAATTATGTGCATTTAATAGATTTTTAGGGCTCATATAATAAGAGGGCTATTTACACTGTTCATCCATCTTCGCTGTATCAATATTCTGCTTTTGAAAATGGTACCTGACCACAAGGTGGCAGCAGTGCAATCTACTGCAGGGAGACTAGGCGATGGAATATACTGGAACTGTGGCTTCTTCATTATATACTAGTCAGGTCCTGCCTATTAATCAGATAGTATGTAGCCAATTGCAATATTTCTGTAACATGTCCTCCTTTCATATGATTTATTTATACACTTGGATTAGGTCCCGTGAATTTTTTTTTTAAGGTAGGAGTTAATGTAAGAACATTGTTATTCTAATACAAAGGGAGGTTACTCTAATCATAAACATTCAAAGAATATTTTCCTCTGGGAGTTAGCTTCTATTATGGAGCCTCAGCCACAAAAAAGTACAAAATAGAAATAGAGAAGAGCAAGCCCATAAATTGATAGACTGGCAATTGGCGGGGTCTTTGGCACATGGAACAAAAAGCTTTGGATACATTTCTGTAAATTGGAAATTATGTATCTACTTGTCTCAGCATGGATAAGGATGTGTTAAAGACAAACACCATGTCCAACAAAAGGAAAAACAATGAGCAGTGAACTATAAAAACAATTATAGAATAATTAGAATATCTAATATTTATGAAACACTTTCTACCTAGTCATAGATACTCATGCTAGCATTTAATCCTCCCAACATACTTCAAAGTAGATTCTATGGTATCCCTACTTTACAGACAAAGAGTTTGAACCATTGATAGGTAGTTGTGTGGCAACTGGTAAGAAGGGAATCAGAATTCAAGCCTGGCAGTGTGACTCCAGAGCCCGAGTGTATTGCTATAGATCAAAGCTGAGCTTTTGTTTTAGACTTTGTTCTGTCTTGGTTAATCAGTCATATATTTTTGTGTGTGTGACATACCTTACATTTCTGTTGAAATAAGTTCCTAGTTAATAAGTTGTATTTAGCATAAATATGTTTAAGTCAGTTGATAAGACTGCCATTCTATGCTGTAACTTTTGGATGCAGACCATAAGCTCTAAGACATACATAATGACCAGCTGCCAGCGTTAAAACCAGTGGCCAAGAACATGCAGTCTGGGAGTGGCTGGAATTTGAATTCCCTATGTTCCATTTACTAGCTACATAACTATATGCAAGTTACTTATGCTACATGAACCTCAACTTTTCCGTCTGGAAAAATGAAGATCATAATTTCTCCCTAAGAGATGCTCTGGGTATTAGTCACTAATTTAAAAGAAAGTATGCATAGGTGATGAGGCAACTCCATAACCACTCTCTTTCTTAGTTTCTCCGTGTGCGAAGTGAGCATGGCAACAGAAAGCACTTATCTCACCGGAGGATTGGGAGGACCGACTGAGGCCGCACATGTGAAGGGGCTGGAGCAGCACGTGCACCTGGTGTTTGAGAAGTTCGGCTCTTGCTGTCTCCCATTCATCACACACATGGTGCCGGCTAAGTGAAAGGCACGGTGCTAGGTGTGGGGACATGAGTGAGTAGCACAGACATAATTACTACCCTCATGAGTGTTCTACTGGAGGAGACAAACAAGTAAATATATTTTAAAATATAACTGCAACAAAGCACCACTACGGGGCTGTAATGGAGCATAACCAACAATTGTGATCTATTTAGAATTCTGGATAAAGATCATGGATTTGACACACACACACATATTTTCCATCCCCAAACCACCAGTAAATACATAGCTTTGGAAAACTAGAGTCCATGGGTGGAAAACAGAAGAGACAAGACAAAACAAAATTTGAAGCTGTAAAGCAAATGGATGAATGGTATCTGCAAAGGTAAAGCTGAAAACCAACACGGCCTCATAATACCCTCAAATGGTTCAGGAAGAGGCAGGAATATTGAGAATTGGGAACAAGGAGGTAAGAATTGGGAACAAGTGAGGACTGGTGGAAAGCTGTGAAAGAGGTCATTTTAGCACGAGATTTCTTCCTCCATTTTCCATGTGACACATGCCTCTGCCCCATCTTTCGCAGAAGGCTCGAGAGGGTGGAATAGATGCCTTGTGGGTTGGGAGCTGTCATTCATAATGTATTCAAAACAGGGGGTTAAGTGAATATATGCACACTGAACGCTAAGTTCTGCGACTCTTGGCCCTCTCTTTGCTGACTGTGTCCCAGAACACCGGCAGCCACGCCTGTATTTGCAGGCAAAAGACTGGAAGTCCTCTCGTGGGACTCTTTCTAGTCCCTAAAGATAGTGCAGTTGGGAAATACTCTGCAAGTGGCCTGGTGATGCTCAACATCAACAAGCCCTGTCCACAGGCCGAGGGCTCTGGGTAGCTTCTCAATCTTCCTATTTATCATGGATTCCGAAGGATGGTCTGACTCGTGGGGACAGACAGAGACCAAAACAAAGAGGGAAAAGGCGAAAATAAAGATTTCAGGATGATAACTGCGCGCCAGGTGTTTAGGGTGACCAGTCTGAAGCCGTGTGACACACGAGACAGATATATCCACGCTGTCTGTCGTCATTACACCTCTTGTCATCAAGCCTTCATTTTAACGTTTGGAGTCCTGGAGGATGTACCCCAAGTAAACAGTGCAGTGAGTAAAGACAGCGATGGCACCCAGGAAACAACAGGACTTCACTCAGGACAAAGACATTCCTGGGGTGACAGAGAAGGGCGGTCGGTAAAGACAGACGTGCAGAAACCTAGATAGTTCAGCAAAAGAAAGGCGACCTCGGCCAGATAGCTCCAAGAAAATAGTGGACATAATAGGTTATCTGGGATCATTGACCTTGTGGAAAATCGTATTGGCAGGCTACTGGGTAGTGTGGGAAGGGTCAGCAACAAACGGACAAACAATTAGGCAAATGAAGGAAAGACAATTACTAATTTTGAGGAGGTAAAGTGAGAAAGGAAATAAAGTATACTACAATTCACAGTTCTGTATAATATTTGCATGGGCATACTAATGTAACAACCGAATATTGATCTGACCAAAACATTTTAATACCATTAAAATTTGGGAGTAGGGAAGCAGAGACGATGATTACATAGGAAATAAATTCTTATTACTATGGTAATAAGTCCTGAGAAACTAAAGTTAGTGAATCAAAGAAAGCCATACTTACATGTCTTAAAGCGCTAAAAGAGAGTTATGTCTGAGGAGGGGTTAAAGTGAAGAGTGAGAGCAGAGAATCACTGTACTTGGTTTTACATTTCAAAAATATAATTTGATATTTTAAAACTACAGGTATGTTTTACTTTGATAAAAAGGAGCTTTTTAAAGCAAGCCACTTAGTGTCTGGCAAGTAGATATGATTAACAGTCGTAACAACAAACTCATCACATTACTTTTATATCTTGGTTTTTCTCTGCCCAAGGAAAACGTGACATGAAATCATCCAATGTGTCCACAATTGCATCAACTTGACACTGTTCCAGTTCTGTTTTTCCAGCCAAATCTATAAAACAGAGACCATTTTAAGCCCAGAAATACACTGGATTTAATTTACTATTCGAAATGTTAATTTTTAATAGGCAATATATTTTTATGGTTCAAAAATTCAAAATATAAAACTGTATGCCGTGAAGATGCACTTCCACACCCACTCTCATCCCTCTTATTGTGCCCCCTTACCTACCCTTCTTTTGGAGGTTTTTGTGGTATTCTTCTATTATTTCTTTATGAAAATAACACTATATATCCCACTCAAAATAAGCACCCCCCCATATGATATCTTTCCATACAAGTTTGTGAAGGGCGTCCTTGCTCTTTTTCAGCTCCATAGAAGCACCAGTCTATCCAGCCTCAGCTGATTAGGTTTGTTTCTTTCATATCTTTTATTAATACTACAATAAAAACCCTGCATTATCATTTATACTTCTCTTGCATTTAGTTCCATTCTTCTTTACAATATAGTGTTCAATAATAAAATTGTTTAATGAGTAGCGAATATATGTCATGTATTTTTTTTTCAGTTTTTCAAAACTCTTCAACACACTAAACATATTACCTGTGTTTTTGGTCAGGTATCTTGCAATTGCTAGGCTCTGGTGAAGGTTAAGTCCATCGACTTCCAAAATGGGGATTTTACCAAATGGAAGAGCTTAAAGTAAAAGAAGCAAAAAAAAAAAAAAAAAAAAAATCAACTTCCGTAACAAAATCAGTAAGAATATTTCCATTTTTATTGATAATTATAGAAAAAATCATGATTTGAAAGTTAAGGGATTTTTGAATATGTGTTCTGAAAGGGACAGTAGGTACCTTCTAGTGGTATCTTTATAAGTTTTATATTTTTATTTAAAAAAAATTTAATGTTTACTTTTGAAAGAGAGAGACAGAGTGTGAATGGAGGAGGGGCAGAGAGAGAGGGAGACACAGAATCTGAAATCGGCTCCTGCCTGGAGCTGACAGCACAGAGCCCACCCAACGCAGGGCTCGAGCCCACACACAGTGAGATCATGACCTGACTGAAGTTGGATGCTTAACTGACTGAGCCACCCAGACTCCCCTTCTTTCTAAGATTTTTTTTTTAAAGTTGTTAGAAGACCTGCTACAGAGTTTAGTGGCAGCAGCAGGTCAAAAACCCAGTTTTACGGGGGCACTGCATATTAACCTGTGTATTACCTCATATGCTTACATACACTTGTTACTTACCTTTTCAAAAACCTTTCTTTTAAAGATTCATTAGTTTTTGTGGCCTTCATGAGCAATAGCATGAATTATTCTTTAAAGCCATAGTCTAAGGAAATGGAGAGTTTGATTTACATATTGAGTTATGGTAAGAAATTTAGCCGAATTTTGATTTTGATGAGGGACTATGTGAAGTATATAGGAAGGCAGTAAGCAATTTGTACAACTATTAGGGCAGACTCATAGCAGATGTATTAGTATTTTATCCATAGATCTTACTTTGTTTTCTTATCTAAATCTATTATATTTTTGTCAGAAAGGAATATATGTTTTTACAGAAAAATTCTAAGTTGAGGAGAAATAACAATAACTCTACCATGTAATTATAATCATTTGAGTATTTTAATTGCTTACTCATATGTATTTAAAAACATCATAATGTATTCATAAACCACTTTTTTATTTGATAACATCTTTTTGAAGTCTTTCCAAATCAGTGAAACATCACCTTTAAAATTTTTTTTTAATGTTTATTTTTGAGTGAGAGACAGAGCACAGTGCCACCCAGGCGCCCTGAAGCATCACTTTTTAATGGCTGCATTATATTTTGTCATATGTATTGATCACAATTTTCCCAACCAGTCCCTTATTTGGGGAAATATCATTATTCTGGAAAGAAAGAAAAGAATAAAGTGCTACTCACAATCCCATTACCCTAATGCAACCAGAATCAACTTAGAATCAACCTTCAAGTGTCTTCCATATGCACATTAAATAAATACAAGATGAACTACAGTTCACATCAGGAATAAAAACATCTTTGAGTACTTACCTAAGGAGTGTGCCAACTACTATTCTAGGTGCCTGAGATACTGCAGTGAGCAAAACAAAGTCTCATATAAAGCTGACACAAATCGCGATGCCTTATTCAGAGCAAAGTATGTGATTAGGAATTAGCATGCCTAATATTTTGAACGATGCCCCCTTTATGCTAGGCAGTGTACTAAATATTTAATGCACCCATGAGGTCTTCTAGTATTTACAACCTTATGAAGTAGGTATTATCTCATTTCATAAATGAGGAGATGAGGGGAAGAGAGATTGTGGAGAGTCCAAGTCACATACATGGTAGAGGCTCAAATTGAGTTCAGTTCGAACCTTTGCTCAGCTGTTTTGCTAGTTCTAAGAGCTATGTTTTGTGAAGTTCATTAAAAATCAGAGCAAACCCAGAGAATAGTATCCAAGTTAGAGAAGGGTCTGAAATCCACTTTTTTATAAGGATTGGCCGAAAAACTTGGCACTCTTCACTGGGGAGAATAAAACAAACCAAGCGTAACCTAATGGCCATTTCATATATGGCACAGCGATCAAATGGATGAAAAATTTTACTTATTCTATCTCTAAAATGCAGAACTAGAACTAAAAAGTAATTTTAAAAGGGCAGATATTAATTCAAAATGAAGAATAATTTTTCAGCATTGGAACTATTGATGATGGAATGTGTTTTCCTGCGAGATGGTAAGCTTTTGGCTACTGGCAGCATTTGAGCCACGCTCGGGATAATTGCCAACAGTGGGAATAAAGAAATTTAAGATGACAAATGCCAACGCCTTCCTTTGGTTCCAGAAGAAAATTAACCCCGGGGTTGTTGAAGCATCTGTCAAAAAGCTTTAAGGAATTTAGTGATGCTGAGAATAGGGCTGTGTGATACGCCTCTCAGAGTAAGCACTGTGATCTTGGTAAAATGTCTTTGGATAGTATCTCGACTTAGGCTCAGAGTGGTGGTCCCCTTGTACTCTGTGATCTTCTTATCCCTGGAACATTCTGTTTCCCCACAGGCACCACGCATTAATCGGTGGACATAGTCTAACAGTAGCTTATCCTTCTTGGGTGGTGAGGAAATCCAAACCAGGGGATATAAATGGAACCCTCCAGGAAGAGAAGAGAGTCGTCCCTTGGAGCTACCCTGCAGATCTCATACAGTCCATGGGGAACAGCATGTAAATCAAGAAGTGGAGTTGGGGCTAGCAAGTTTGGACTGAAATTCACAATGATGATCAGAGAAACAATCGAGAAAGTTCTAAAAGTTGATATCTCTATAGAGGGACAGATGTATGAGTTAGCTGGAACTCGGTTCTGAACTCGGCCAGTGACCTTTGTCTTCACTCAGACTATTATCATTGAACTGACTACACAGCAATGTCTTTTTCTCTATGATCTTAAAGATACTAGGTTTCTTCAAATAATTGGATGTGAAAGAAGGAATAATCTGCTCTCCATGGATTAAAATGATAAGTCCAAGACCAATGTATGAAAGCCACAAGGAGATAGATTCTAATTTTGTGTAAGGAAGAGTCTTTTAAAGTTTTCCTCCTTTCTGTTTTCTGTTCTCTCTTCACAGACTTTCACTGAGAGAGACATTAGATATCCTAAACGTATTTAATCTCATTTTTTCTAATCTTTTTTCTCTATTTTTTACTTCTTTTTCCTATTGTACTTTCTGGAGGAGTTCTTTATTTTTTTTTTATCATTTTATCAGTTTGATTAGTCTGTATCAAAATTTTAATTTAAAACCTTTTTGTCTCTGAACATTCCTTTTTATGGCATATTTGTTCAGAATGTATAGAAAATGTTCTCTTTGAGGATTTTCTATTTTTGTAAAATTTTTCTTGCTATATCATCCTGAAGCCCTCAGTTGATTCCCTCCCCACCCTACCACCCCTGCGTCTTCGTTTAGGTCTGTTGTACATTAAAGGCCTTCTCACAAATATTATTAATTTTTGGCCTGCCATTCCTGTTTTAAATAAGTGAAAGGAATGAAAGCTAATTGGAGCCTCAGTGGACGTGGGAAGGGCCTGCAAAGAGACTGGGCTGGGCCCTGTCATTGAGATGCCCACCTGCTCAGTGTCTGCTAGACATTCTCTTGGACTGATCAGCCTCCCTGGAGACAACTCTTCGCATTTCCTGCCCGAGGGATACTCGTTTGGTTGCAGTATTCTGATTGTAGGGCGGGGAGTAAGGGCTTTGGGTCTCAGTGTTTAGTTTCTAGATTTCCATTGAATCCCACCTACTGTATTGTGTCCTGAGACATGACCGGTATCCTAGAATCCTCTGGGCTTTCCTTGATTGACAGTAATCTCCATTCTTCTTCCAGGGTGGGGAAAAGACCTTGTGGCCATGCTGCTGCTTCACATTCTTCCAGTCAATCCTCTGTCAGTCCAGTTTTTAGAGTTCTCTGTTGTTGCCAATTCTTGAGCCCTTGGGGGGATCCCTGGAGTGATTCAGCTTGTCTCCTCCTCTAGGCTTATTTTGGGCATCAGGGGCCTGCTAAGTCACCTTACCATTCTTTTCTTCTTAATGTTATTTATTGATTTTGAGACACACAGAGAGAGACAGATAGACAGACAGACAACAAGCAGGAAAGGGTCAGAGAGAGAAAGAGAGAGAGAATCCCAAGCAGACTCCAAGCCGTCAGTGTAGAGCCAGACGTGGGGCTCGAACTCATAAACTGTAAGATCATGACCTGAGCCGAGATCAAGAGTTGGTCACTTGCAGTGCCTGAGTGGCTCAGTTGGTTAAGCATCCGACTCTGCTCAGGTCATGAGCTCGTGAATTTGAGCCCTGCGTAGGGCTCTGTGCTGACAGCTCAGAGCCTGGAGCCTGCTTTGGATTCTGTGGCTCCCCTTTATGCCCCTCCCCTGCTCACAGTCTGTCTCTCTTTCTCTCTCAAAAATAAAATAAAACATTAAAAAAATTATTTAAAAAAAAAAAGAGTTAATCACTTAACTGACTGAGCCACCCAGATGCCCCATCATCTTCCCATTCTTGACCTGTTTTGCAGCTTTGAGAATTTTGTGCTTTCATATTAAAGATTGATTTCTTTGTCCTTGTAGGGCTTTGACTTTTTTTTTTTAAAGAAGTACTTTAATGTTATGTAAAAGAGAAAAAAATGTCAACACCTGTGCACAGTTTACCAGGTTTGACTTGGAAGAACTTCTTAATGGAAATAATCAGTGATATTCTAAATTATCACAGAGGGCAGGTCACCAGAGAGCATTCCTAAGTCAGATACGAGATGAGGCCAGCTAAAATTTGTAATAAACTGCTTTTCAATATCTGTTCTTTCCTTTTTTCTCAAAGCAATAAAATCCGGATTTTTAGCTGAGCAAATGACTATCCACAATAAAGTCAGCATTTCCCAGCTTCCCTTATAGCAATGTATGGCCACGTGAATAAGTTCTTGCCAAGGGGCTACAAGCAGAAGTGAAATGTAAAACGTTCTGGTCATGCTGTTGAAAGAAAGAGACGTGCGCCTTTCCTCTTATACTTCCTATGAGCTGGAATGTGGAAGGAGAGGGCGTTATCTTACACTATATACATTAGCCAACCAACTAGGGGTGGCAGATGAACAGAAAAGAAGGAGCCTAATCTTTAGCAACTTCATGGAGCAGAACCATTATACCTGCTTGGGCTTTTATGCAAAAGAAATGAATTTCTATCCTCTTTAGGCCATTTTTTGTGTTGGGTGTCTGTTAAAACATCTGACACTATGCATACACACACACACACACACACACATATATGTCCTAACCACCATGAACTTTAAGATCTCTATCAACTCTAAGAATCTCTGAAAATAATAAGAAAATGCAACCATTCCATTTTTATTTATTTTAATGTTTTATTTATTTCTGAGAGAGAGAGAGAGAGAGAGAGAGACAGCATGAGCAGGGGAGGGTCAGAGAGAGAGGGAGACACAGAATCTGAAACAGGCTCCAGGCTCGGAGCTGGCTGTCAGTACAGAGCCCGACGCGGGGCTTGGACTCACAAACCAAGAGATCATGACCTGAGCCGAAGTCGGATGCCCAACTGACTGAGCCACCCAGGTGCCCCAACAATTCCATTTTTAATAACATAATGGAAAGTCAAGGTAGAAGAGGGTATGAGGCACTCAAAGAACTTATATCTAAAAACTAAAAGGCAGAATTTGTTATATGTAATATCTCTGCAACTTGCTATCCATCTTGATTTCATTAATGAATAAAATTTAATTTCACCTATTTCATGTCCACAGAATTAAAAATCCCATGTACAAATTCCGATGGCAGGGGGAAAGTTTGGATATTAATGAGAAAGTTTCCTGAGAAAAGGAAATAAAATGTCCTAGTCCACCAGGGAAGGGTTCTCTACTAAGAAAAAGAGTGAACACAGGGTCAATGACTTTTTAGGAACTCGTGTTTCCAAAAGGCATGTGGTGATATGTATTGTTAATATACCAGTTATCCTGGTGTTACTGTTATTGGTATTATCTAATTAATTAATTATTTTTAAATATAGTTTATTGTCAAGTTAGCTAACATACAATGTATACAGTGTGCTCCTGGCTTCAGGAGTAGATTCCCGTGATTCATCACTTATATACAACACCCGGTGCTCACCCAGCAAATGATCTCCTCAATGCCCATCACCCATTTTTCCCCACCCTGACCAACTCTGTTTGTTCTCTGTATTTAAGAATCTCTTATGGTTTGCCTTCTTCTCTGTCTGTAACTGTTTTTTTTCTTCCCCTCCCCCATGGTCTTCTGTTAAGTTTCTCAGATTCCATATGAGTAAAATCTTATGATCTCTGTCTTTCTCTGACTGATCTATTTCATTCAGCATAATACCCTCTAGTTCCATTCATGTAGTTGCAAATGGCAAGATTTCATTCTTTTTGATGGCTGAGTAATACTCCATTGTATATATATATATATACCACATCTTCTTTATCCATTCATCAGTTGACTAACATTTAGGCTCTTTCCATACTTTGGCTATTGTTGATAGCGCTGCTGTAAACATTGGGGTACATGTGTCCCTATGAATCACCACTCCTATATCCTTTGGATAAATTCCTAGTAGTGCTATTGCTGGGTCATAAGGTAATTCTATTTTTAGTTTTTTGAGGAACCTCCACACTGTTTTCCAGAGTGGCTGTAGTTATTGGCATTATCTAGTGCAAATAACTTGGGCCACTGTGTGAAACTGACCTGTGTTTGAAAAACAGTTCTACCTTGCTGGGACTCTGAGCCTAGAAAAATTACATAAATTCTGTGTGCTATAGCTCTCCCAATTATAAAATAAAAACAATAATATATACCATGAAGGCATGCTGGGGAAATGAAGTGAAATGGGTCTGTGGTTTATCTACCAGATGCCCGATAGTCTTCCAATACCCAATAGCTGTTTTCCTCAACTTTATTCTTATGCAAGTTTATAATAATCCCATCACAGAAATGTGAATTTTAGCCATATAGTTAATATGTAGTTAGTATTTCTAGGAGGGTATGATGGGCAAAATAATTAGTTCATCTATTTTTTCTTCATTAAAAAAAATATAGCACCAGAGGATGACTTACAACTCACTGAGAGGCACACACTTTTTAATGTCATAATATTTCTAATTCTTCCCCTTTGTCTTGAGTGCTAAGTGGCATGTTTTCATTGAATTACCTGCCCAATTTGTCAATTTGCTCTTTCTTCTGATCCAACATCCCAGTTTTGCTCACGTATCCACCCTTCTTTTGAATAGTCACATGCTTTGTGAAAATTGATTCCACCCCCAACTTCAGAAGTAGACTATGTGGTTCCAGGTCTTTCCCATCTGCTTTGTCAGAGGCTGGTTCACACACGGACACGTAGCCCAATTTGAGCCAGTGAGAGATGACAAGTTTGCTGAGGTTTGGAAAAGATTTTCTGCATTCTTCTGAGAACACTTATGGAAGCAGTGCTCTTTCTCTCTCTCATGTATCTCTCGATATTCCTGTTCAAGGCTGTGGGGCTGGAACTGCAGCACCCTTATTGTTACTTGGTCCATGATGCCACCAACACACAGAAGAAAGTCAGCTCTTAAAACCTGTCCTATTTCTGGATTTTTGGTTATCTGAGATAACTAATTTCCTTGTTATATAAGCCATTTTGAGGTCGGTTTTCTGTTAGAGCAGCAAATCTGAATCCTTGTCAAAACATTATAGGTATCTGTAGTAAGCCCATCCAATTCCAATTGTCAAGAATAATAACTTTGGTATTCCCTATTTCAGCTCTTCTGACATAGCTTTGTATTGTTTATATATTCTTTCGGTGAGGTTTGTGTTTTCACTTTGAATAGGAAAGTTTCTGAGCCACCTAGCTTCTCAATGTAAAGCTACATGAAATTTAAAAACCTCTATTTTTAAAAAATTAATAAGTGGGGCACCTGGGTGGTTAAGCCTCCAACTTCGGCTTAGGTCATGATTTCATGGTTCATGAGTTTGAGCTCGGGCTTAGGCTCTGTGCTGACAGCTCAGAGCCTGGAGCCTGCTTCAGATTCTGTGTCTCCCTCTCTCTCTGCCCCTCCCCTGCTCATGCTCTGTCTCTCTCTCAAAAATAAATAAGCATTTAAAAAAATGTTTTAATAAATAAAATAAATAAATAAATACATAAATAAATAAATACCTTTCTTTTTTTTATTTCCCTAAGGAAAGACAGAAAGTTCTGGAAGTATATATTTTCCCTACATTTTCATAAGCTATTATTTGTGCAACTTACTTGATTTGACTTCAGGCCAATCAGCTTGTTCTATTCTGTGGTCTTCATACTTTATGTCCAAATATGCGAATATATATCGAATAATTTCCGCTCTCCCCCTCATATTAAAGTAAATGAGTTTGTAGTTTGGCATGGTGTGATTCTGGGAAAAGAAAAATTGAAGATTATTTTAGCAGCCCTCAAGGAAAGTTCCCATATTTTTCTTTGGGGATATTTTTCAAAACTTGATGGCATCTTTTGAGATAGCTGGAAATATTGGAGAATATTTCAAAACCTGAATTATAAGTCACTATCCTAATAACATATGGGAAAGACTTGTTAGAAGATCATGACTACCTCTTTAAGAATTAGCTGGATCATTCCAGTGAAATATTTTACCAAAAAACAAAATTCAGAGTGAGAGGGTATCTAGATACCAACCTTTGGAGGATGAGTCCAAAACTTTCCATTTTTCCATTTTAAGCTATTTTTGTCCTGCCTTTTACTCACTTGTAATTCGACATTTGGCTTTGGTTGACTTTGGTGACACAGCTGAGTTTGTGAAGACAGCTAGATGAGGATTTCAAGAACAGGGTACATGTAAGGGGAAAGTGAGCCAGCTTTGCCAACCTGAGCTGGCCATCCCCTCCCTCCTCTCGCCCATGGCATTTCCCTCTAGGAATCAAAAGCTTAGGGAAACACTGCTCTCTTTTCCCTTTTACTGCACGCATGCTGCGGGGTTTTATTGGGATGCTAGCACCGTACAGACATACCCCATCTTGGTGACCTTTGTTGGGAGGGGACAACAGGAAGCATATTTCTCTGTACCTTCTGTGGAGGAGCAAGGAAGAAGGTAACTTTTCTTACATTTCATAAAGTTTGCTAAAACTGGCTACATTGGTTAGATGGATGTCAGTCATAATTTTATGAGTTTTCTGTGATTTGTATCATCTCATTTCCATTGCTTATAAACAAGTAATAATTTAAGGCACTAATAGTAGAATGTCTTGTAATTTTATAATGGTCAGGTAACCTAGAAAGAAACGTTTTCATTTGAAATTCAGCTCCTCCACCCAGTGGCTATGTGTCTTTGGACTGTCAACAAAATCTCTCTTCAAAGTCCGTTTTTTGTAAATAGAGATACTAACATGGATTTGGAGATTTAATGAGGTAATACGTGTAAAGCATTTGACACAATGCTAAATACTTAATGAGTATTAGCTGTGGACAATAATAACTTTGAATTAATTCTATAGTCAAAAATAAACACTATGAATACAGGACACTAAAAATAAATAATAATCATAGTAATTATGTTAGTAATAATTGATAATTCTATTTATGAATAGAAGTCATAAATAAGAATCATTTATTTTTTAATGTTTATTTTTATTTTTGAGAGAGAGACAGAGCAAGAGCTGGGGAGGGGCAGAGAGAGAGGAGGACAAAAGTTCAAAGTGGTCTCTGTGCGGACAGCAGTGAGCCCGATACGGAGCCTGAACTCAGGAACCGTCAGATCATGACCTGCGCCAAAGTCAGACACTCAACCGAGACACCCAGGTGCCCCAACAGTTATTTGTTTTAAGTGGTAAGTTTAGTTTGTTTTCTTCTAGGCAAGTCTCTCAAGGATATTAATGGATTATTAGATAAAAAGAAAAGTTAGGCTAAAGGCTCAAAACAAAATTCTACCTGAAACCACATCACATGAAAGGTCAAACACAAATCATAGAAATCTAAATTGCCAAGTTTATGCATTCAGTGTCCTCCTATGGTGAGGATGGCTGCAAACAGCTGTCTAGTTGCCTATTTAGACCCCCCTCAAGATCCAGGAGATAATGGTGATAGTAATTTCTGGTGCATCCATTTCTCTGGGCCTTGGTTTTCCCCGTCCAGATACTGTGGCTGGAGGTGGTGCCCTTTGCCGGAAATCAGAGTCACGCTGACCGTTCCACACTCCATCCCACTCCTGGTAGCCAGTCCAGTGCAATCTGTGCCAAAGTGAGACATGGCACACGGCTCACACACCAGTGTGTGAGTGAAGGAGTCACTGAAGAGTACTAAAAATTCCAAGTACATAGCCCCCAGCTCTTTAGGGGAGAAGTATGCATAGAGGGAGTTCAAATTTGGGGACTCAGTTAAGCCTAATGTTGAGCTTTGTTTCTAAACAAATAGTGGGAAAAATATGAGAGTACAAAAATAGTCATAAAAAATGTAAAGTGATAAGCTTCCTTCTGAAAAAAGGGGATAGTTTATGTCATCACAATAAAGGGAACATTCTTTTTTTAAGTTTATTTATTTAGTTTGAGAGAGAGCGGTGGGCGAGGGGCAGAGAGAGAGGGAGACACAGAATCCCAACGTGGGGCTTGATCTCATGACCCAGGGATCATAACCTGAACCTAAGTCAAGAGTCGGTCACTCAGCTGACTGAGCCACCCAGGTGCCCCAAGGGAACATTCTTATTTAGAAAATAAAAAGCATAATTGTTTCAACTTTTTGATCTAACAGTTCTAAATCTCAAAAGAATAAAAGTCTTCAGAGTGGAAAAAGTGTCACTCTTGGTCACAGTTTTTACATAAAGAACATTGTATACAACTTTTTTATTGAGTTTTGCTGTCATGGGTCAATGTTTCCTCAGCAACAAAGAAATTGTATGTGTTTTCCTTATAAGCATGATATGAATACATAGATTCATACACATCCATTGTGATCAATATTACAAAATTAAACATGACTTTTTCTCATTTGGTCAAATGCCGCATAAATAACAGCGTCCACCTCCTAATTCTGCATGAAAACAAAGGCACTTGTTGATGTTGTTCATTTGCAAAAATGTGCTGTTTTATATCGTATTTCATTCAAGTAAGAAGACATGAAAAAAATCCTTAGCATAAGTTGTCAGCTATCTACAGTTCTCTGCAAATAATCTTTAAATCTGAGATTTGGCACAGGTCTGTGAACATCTGATAAATGCTTATCTTTCCTTCCAGAACATCCTTTCAACAGTTGTAACTCATTGATGAAGCTGCACTTGCACAACACATTCCTGTAATTACTTGCCTGATTATATTTTCTATTGAGTGAAAGTCTAGTTTTCTTGATCTTTGCAGCTACCAAGTTCCAAACTTAAAGAGTTTTGCTTTTCAGGATATATGTGCACATTTTATAGCGTGAAAAATAAGTAAATGTAAATACACTTGGAAACACTTAGGAATCTTAAAAATCCTTTCTATATCTCATAAAGCTTTTGCACAAAAACTAACTGACGAAATTTGAAGCAAATATTTGTATGGTGAAAATCGATAAATCTACAATAAAAGCTAATGAGAAATATAGAGGAAAGTGTCTCAAAGACTCTTTTCCTCTTACTGCATTCAGCAGTCTATTTCTGTTACAATAATCTCACTTTGTTAAAGCCTTTCTTTCGTAAGGATGATAGGCTAAAAGGATGAAGGTAAGATATTCTCCACTCCTACCAACGGGTGCAGTGAGGAACAAACTCAAGGGCAGAGTAGGTCAGTGGCAAAAGGAATGTGTGGTTTGGAGTCACCCCTGCTACTCTGTATCTAAATGGCCTTGGGCAAGTTACCTGTTCCTAGCTTTAGTTTCCTCACCTGTAAAGTGGGAATGAAAATATTGTGTAGAAAGTACCAGTACAGTGCTTGGCACATGGTATACATTTGGGAGGCAAAGCAAGAAGGATGAAAAGGGAGAGTGGGAGCGATGAAGACAGGGAAGGACAGTTCCCACCCCAGGTGAGGTTCAAGCTCAGCTTCGTGTAATTTGATTGGACTTCGACCCTCAAGCACATAAAAGTAAATAAGTAAGTAAGTAAGTAAATAAATAAATAGTCAGGATTAAAAGCAAAGACAAAATTTGCCTGCATCAAATGAACAAAAACCAAATACAGTAAGCAGGGCCCCAAATTCTGAGAGAGGCAGTGGCCATCAAGGAGGTTAGCTCCTTCAGAAAAAATGAGAATAAAATCCCCCACACAAATGAGAGACCACAGGGATGCACTGCTTGAAACTAGGGCCTGGGGGGCTCTTATACACAATCTTTAAAAGGTCAAATTGTAAACCTCTAGTAAAAGTGATAATAAGGAAAATACATGAAAAGTCACAAAAATTAATATTACAAGCAAAAAGGGGTCATAACAGCAGATGAAATAATCATTAAAATCATAAGCCAGTGGGGCACCTGAGTGGCTTAGTCAGTTAAGCAACTGACTTCGGCTCAGGTCATGATCTCACAGTCCATGGGCTCAAGCCCTATTTCCGACTCTGTGCTGACAGTTCAGAGGCTGGAGCCTGCTTTGGATTCTGTATCTCCCTCTCTCTCTGTCTGCCCTCCACCATGCCCCCTGCCAGCTCTCGTTTTCTCTCTCAAAAATAAAAAACATGAAAAAAAGCCATAAGCTAACATGACAAATAACTTCATGTCTATGAATCCAAACACTTAAATGGAAAGAGTTTTGAGAAATATGTAAACTAACACAAGCAAATAAAAAAGCTGAAAGCCTGCATTTAACCCTAACCAGTAAAGAAATTGAATTGGTAATTAGTTACACTCATGAAAGACACCAGGCCCAGAAGAAAACTTCTTTAACCTATTAGAGTCTCTCCCAAACAGCTTAGAGCAAGCATCAGACATGATACGGAGCCAATAGAAGCATTTTCTTTAATTTCAGGAATAATGAGATCCTTACTGTTCACTGTAGTCCTGGATGTCTGGCTAACTCAGTAAGATAAGATAACAATAAACAACATATGTAAGGAATGGAAAGGAAGAGACAAAACTGTCTTCATTTACAATCAAAGTTGTTGTTTGTATTTAAAATTCAAGAGTCTCTATGGATAAACCTGAGCCTAAATTTCAAATAGAAAAGCTAAGGACCAAAATAGCCAAGACCAATGAAAAGAACAGAAGGAGAGGACTTGACCTACCAGATTGCAAGACTTACATCAAAATCCTTGTAATTACGGTAATGTGATCTTTGTTCAGGACCAGACATACAGAAGTGCGTAAAGCCTTTAACAGAATCTCAGATATATGACAGACATGACATTACAGTGGGAACATAATGGGGCTAGACTGAAATGGTTCTAAGACAGAAGAAGAAAAACATACAGAATTAGATTCCAACTTCACACAATTCATAGAAAGAACACCGGGTGGATTATAGACCTAAGTATGATCGGACTGGCCTAGGCAAATTCCAGTGTCGTGCTGTTCCCAGTTTCGGTTCTGAGCCTTTCCACTATCACTCCATGTTAAGAATCCCGTGTAGGGAAAGCTGTGTATATTTCCTAAAATGGTACAGAAATAAGAAGGAAAAAGGTAAGCTGATCATGCTTAAAGCTTTCTTTTATAAATGAAGCTAACCACTGGCTTCCTTCCATTCTGGAGAGAGTCATTTAAGTTTTTGATTCATCAGAAAAAGAAAAAACCTATCTTTGAAAAATAAGATATACTGTTTCTCAAAGAACATAGAAATGATGACTTAATATATACTCTGGATAGAAACTTTCACATATGAACTCTTACAGATGTAGCCACTAACTGCAAAAAAAGACTTACCTTTTAATGTATGCTAAGCTTATTTAGAAAATGAATCTTTTATATGAGAATAAAGTGTTTTTTTTAAAGTTCTGTCTTCCTTCTGGTTTATAGCTCTTTTTACTTTTTATCTTTTCTTTCCTTTTTAATGTTATTTATTTTGAGAGAGAAAGAAAGGCAAAGAGAGAGAGAGAGAGAGAGAGAATCCCAAGCATACTCCACAATGTTAGTGCAGAGCCCTACTCTGGCTCCATCTCACCAGCTGTGAGATCATGACCTGAGCCAAAATGAAGAGCCAGACACTTAACCAGCTGAGCCACCCAGGTGTCCCTGTAGCTCTTCTTACTTTATGTAACCCTGATACATTTCAGCTGATTAATAACCACAAGGAGCATTCAGTCCAGGGGCAATTTTAATGCAGTCATTGATAAAGTACAAACTATAATAAAAGCATTTCATTTTAGCTAAGCTGATGCCCTATTCTATACATTGCTGTCAGAGCCCAGCAAAACAGTATAAAAAATGCTAATGTCTGTGCAGAAAGGAGACAAGAATCCAAACTCAACTCTGGCAAAGGAGGCTAATATTCAATTACTACGTTATGCACTTAAAAGACTTCAGCAGATAACTGAAAAAAAAAAAAAAGAATTGAATTTTTGAAATAATTTTGACAGAAAACCTTGCAAATAGAGAATTAAGTATTAGCCATTTTACTATTCACTATTTATTTTACTCAAAGACATGAGCCCTTACTCTTAAATAAAAGGAACGTCAAACATACTTGAGAATAATGCAATAACCTATGCATTTGAAGTATAAAAGCACAAATTATTTGCGAATTTGCCAACAGTTCTTTGCTGTACTTGACCAAACCTTAACCTATACAAAAGGCACTGGCATAGAGTATAATATTTGTATCCCATTATATAGAATGCAGTGTTTTGAAATGCAAAAATTGGAGTCAGAGAGCAATCATGTGAGATGCTCTTGTCTACATAAGAACTTCTTGTACATTATGACATTAAATAACAGTACCTATTACCCATTAACAGTTGGTGGCAGAGAATGTTGATCTCCCTCGCTCACAGGGTCCCTGAGCATTTCTAGTTCAGTTCTGGAAAAGCTGCCAAGTTGGAGTTAAATTTGTAGGACAAAAGAGAAAGGTAAGCATTTTTGTTAACTGAGTAAAATATTGATTTCAGTCAAAACCTGGATGTTTACTTTTGCATTGGCCATCCAGGATCTCTATTTTCCCATCAAAGACCAACGAAATATCATTTTAAATGGTTGCCTTACATTAAAGCCAAGGCAAGAGGAATAACTGAAATATCCTTTGGGAGCTGTGAGCTCAAATTCTTAGCCTGTAGTAAATGCCTTAAATTATCTTTGAAATCAAATGATGATAGAAAGTAATTCTTGGCAAAACATGGAGACAATGAGTCTTAAAGTGACAGAAAATATTACAAAGAAAACCCAAGAGAGAAAGAGAGAGAGAGTGAAAGGGAGAAAGGAAGAAAGGGAGAAAACTTTTGCTTCATACACTGAAAAAACATCACTTACACTGACTGTATTTTGTATGTTAAAGTCTACTTAAAGGATCTTTTAAAATCTCTTAAAGTCTTTCAAAATCTCCAGTACCTGTATTTCTCTTAGAAATGACTGATTTCTATTTGGTCACTAACAGAGAGGCTCTGAATGAGACCAGATCAGAGGGAGTGGCACGGCGAAAAGAGGTCATCAGACAATTGCTCAGTGACACACATTGTCACACAGTGAACAGTAATAAAAATAAACACTATGATGAAGAGAGAACACTCTCATTTCTTATCTTTATAGAGATCAGTCTTATCACTTACTTGTGCTATGTTTCCGTGGAGTCTCTCGTATCTTCTATGCCCTCTTAAGTGACTGCATCTTGGGTTTATATGATGAGTAAGTCATAGTCACAAGCCAATGAGAGACAAGGCGACTTACTTCCACCCAAGCCTCTTCCTTCATTTCTCAGATGAAACGTGACCACCAAACAGCCCTGGCCTACAAACACTTCTGGTTATTCTTGGCATTTTATAGGCTCTCTGGGTGTAAACAGCCTAATGTATTTGCATTTAATAGATAACATCAAAGTTACAGGTGCTCACACGTGCCTATTGCTACATGCTCATTTATGTTTAAAGTCTTACAGCGTAGGCTCCTGGAGAATGAGAGAACAGGAATACAGGGAAGCCTTCTTTTCAGATACGCAAATGTCTTGCTTCCTCAATTCGTTTGGTCTCCTTGGAGAGCCCTTGGTTGACCACATCCTCACCAGAAGCCTCCTCCAACAGCCTCGTCCTTTACCTGCTGCGTGTTTCTTCATTACCAAGTCTGACAACAGAATGTATGTTCTTGGTTTGTATTCACCCCTCCCCACCCCCACCCCCAGCAGAACGTAAGCTCTGTAAGAGCAGGTGCCTCATCGCCCAGTTTACTTGTGTCCTCGTTGTGGAAAGAAATGCCAGGCACATTATAGGCACTAATGTATCTTTGATGAGTGAATGATCCCAATATATATTTCCCAACACTTCACATTTTTACAAGGACTCTTTAAAGTTCTCATTACTGCTAGGATATTTCATTTACATTCCTTTTCTCAGAAGAGCCATAAAGCTGGAGTGGAAGATTCTAATATACCTTCTTGATAATCCTTATACAGATGAGTAACAAATGCCTGAGTGTTCTAGACATTTAATTTTTTCCACTCCAATTCATTCCAGCTATAATATTAGGATGGCTCAGTGAAAGGATCCAGTGAAATACCTGCCTGTGCATTAGAGGGTCTGCAGATTGTCCATGAAACATATTAACCACAGGCTGGCTTGCACCTTCTAGAAAATTACATTCATAGGCAGCAATAGCAACCTGTCAAATATTTCCTACTTATTAGCACTCTAAATGTTGAAAAATATGTTTACATCCATTTACTGTATGCATTAGAAATGAAGAAAAATATAAATATTAAGTCTGTAGGAAGCTTAAGATATAAATCCAGCCCCTTATTCACCAAAGAGATCTATGTAAATCAAAATTAAAGGCAAAGGAAATATGAGCTATACAAAATTAGCATATTGGATTTATTATCTTTCACTAAGTTTTAACTTACATTCAAAAAAACCTTTCTGTCCTCACCTCAATCACTTCTAATCTCCATTTTATAGAGGATGAAACAGACATTGGGAAATTAGATACATTGCCTAGGAATTTGGGGTGGGACAAGCTAAGTAATCGAAGCTTCTGCCTTCTTGTGACACCCTTAATATTCTCTTCCTACATTATGCTTCAGTTTTTTAAAAAAATCAAATATGGGGCGCCTGGGTGGCTCAGTCTGTTGAGCGTCCAACTTCGGCTCAGGTCAGGATCTCACAGTTTGTGGGTTCAAGCCCCGCCTCTGGCTCTGTGCTGACAGCTCAGAGCCTGGAGCCTGCTTCCGATTCTGTGTGTCCCTCTCTCTCTGCCCCTCCCCTTCTCATGCTCTGTCTCCATCTCTCAAAATTAAATAATGTTAAAAAAATTTTTTTTTAATTAAATATGCAGGATACAGCACTTGCCTCATTTTCTATCATAATGGTCTGCTTTACAACCCACTTTTCTTGTTTGTAGGAAAACAAAGCAAGCAATCATCTCTCAGGGGAGGAGTGGCCATTCGATTCTTGGTCATGGATCTTCAGCAGCTGCCCTCGGGACTGCTGCCCGTCGTGGGCGCATGGCCTTCCCACCAGCAGCTCCCTGCTGCTTCTGCTGTGTCCTCATTCTGCCCCTCTCTTGCCCAAATGTTCAGTCTAGTCACTTTGAATGCTGTCTCAGGTTCCAACCGCACACCGCCCAACACAGCCATTTCTTCAAAGTGGTTTTACCACCTCCCTGGCAGCACAATATGGCCCCAGGGCCTCACTGCTATCGAGAACTACGAGAACTACGCATTTCCCCTCCTCTCCCATCTCCCATCCCTGGCCCAGGTGTGGATGCTTTAACTCTTCTCATCCACGACGGGCTGTGGGATTTTGCGTAGGTTATTAACTTCCCTGTGCCTCAGTTCCTCCGTCTTTAAATGGGCACTCATTCTACAATAAATGTTAGTGAGTACCTAATCGTTGCCAGATACTATGCTGGATAATAGAGGTTAAGCAGTGAACAAAAATAGAAATCCTTGCCCTCATGGAGCATTCTTAACAATATCAGTAACAACAGGGGCGCCTGGGTGGCTCAGTCGGTTAACCGTCCGACTTCGGCACAGGTCATGATCTCACGGTTTGTGGGTTCGAACCCCGCGTCAGGCTGTGTGCTGACAGCTAGCTCAGAGCCTGGAGCCTGCTTCCGATTCTGTGTCTGCCTCTCTCTCTGACCCTCCCCTGCTCATGCTCATGCTCTCTCTCTCTCTCTCAGAAATAAATGAAAAACATTAAAAAAGTAAAAAAAAAAACCCACAATATTAGTAACAACAAGCTTATAAGGTTCTGAGAGTATTCAGTGAGTGCATTCAATGAATACATGGAGGTCGATGAGTGTTCGTGACAGTTGTCCCTTCACCAGTCCATGCTGAACAGGCCTTGCCCTCTTTGTCATTAGGCCTTGGAGCTAAAAGAGAAGCAGTTGCCAAACAACTTTTACTTTTTACGCTGCTTCATCCTCTCTTGAGGTGATGAGCTCAGAGTCAACTATCTGCTTGAGTGTGGGGAAGGGAAAGGGGAAATGCAGGGTGAGCACGCTTCATGGATTATCTCAATTCTCTCCTAGCGAGTGCCATTTTCTGCATTCTCCGTGCCCTTCATGAACAACTTGTGCAGCGGAATGGACAGGGGGAGAAGTAACTATGAATAAATGTGACAATCTGTGTGATAATGTCTCCATAAGTATTTGAAGGACTATTATAACTTAATTGCATATACTTTCATTTTCACTGGCAGCTCCAGAATTCGGGCACTCTTACTTCTGTGCTGTGGTGTTTAATTAGCGAGTTCCTAACTGCTATTGACTCAGAATCCAAATTTGTTCTTGTTTTTCTTATTTTCCAATCTGGGTAGTAATGCGGTCATATGAGGTCCTGATGAAGACTTCCAGCCTGGAGTCCTGATTGCTTACCTAAAATTGCAACCTCAACCATACCATTTTGAGTTCTGGAACTTTAGGCAGATGTCTGCCTTCCGTTGGCATCAGTTTCCTCATCTGTAAAATGGTGACATACTGGAAAAATAAATATGAAATATAATATAAAAATAGCCCACATATTAGTTCCTATTTATTTATTTTTGGTAAAGGGGAAGTGTTCAACCAAACCCATTTCTACTTTTCCAGCTGCTCTGTTGTTGGACAAAGAGGGAAGTCTCCAGGAGAAGACCACAGAGCTTCCTCTACCCAGCTTCCTGATTTCCTTTTCACAGTCAGTTATTTGAGAAACTAAAAACATCAGAAATTAAAGTATTTAAACCTGATATAGAGAAGTCAGGAAATGAAGAATCTGTTTCTCTTTCTGCTTCTAACCTATTTGGGTAATTGACATGTGCTTATAAATCTTTAGTGTCTGTGTTTTCCCAGAATTCAACACTATGCTTCCTGCCTGAGCTTTCAGATACTGTGAAGAATAATACAATAATTATCTCCAAGATGGTGGGTATTTTTCTTCCCAGCCTTTTGGCTGAGGGAGGATTCCCAGAGGTAAGCAAATAATAGTCATACAAATAGCTAATATGTGTTAATTCCTTCCTGTGAGTAAGGCATTGAACAAGGTATAATTTTAATATGTATAATCTCATTTAATATGTATAATCTCATTTAATGACCCTAAAATAACATCACAAATGGCGTGCATATCCCGGAGTATGGTTATAACTGCCTGGGGCAGGACTTGAAAGCATTTCTATGTAAAATTCCTCAAATATTTTATCTTATTCCTGAGTTTTCATGTTTATTTTCCTGCCAAGAATGGGGAAAATAAACATTACAATAGAGTAAGTTAACTTGCTTTTTAAGATTTTTCCAGAATCAAATACTGTCCCCTATGTATCATTACAACATACCCTGTAGGAGAAAGGCAAACATTAGATCCACCTCTGCCTTCACCCTGACCTGTTGCCCAAAAACATTGTGTCTCATCTCAGAATTTCTGTTCATAGAAGATAAAAGAATTAGGGGCACCTGGGTGGCTCAGTTGGTTTAGCGTCTGACTCGATTTCAGCTCAGGTCATGATCTCATGATTCGTGAGTTCGAGACTTGCGTTGGACTCTGCACTGACAGTGTGGAGCCTCCTTGAGATTCTCTCTCTCTCTTAAAATAAATAAATTAATTTAAAGAAAAGAAAAGAATTGGCCTAGTTACTTCTGAAATCATTTTCTGCTCTATTATTCAAGAACATAATTTACCCCTTAAACACTTTTCTCTTCTTACATGAAAACTAAGTCCTAAGTCCAAAGGGACACAGAGTTCATGGACTGAAAGTTACAGGGGCACAAACCATCTTTATTCCCAAAATTAGCAACAAAGATACTCAGATCAGATGAAGGTCACCCTCTCTGATAATCCCAGGTCACAGGGTGGAACTTACTATTTACAGGTACTAAAGTAATGCAGACAAGCGTAAATTAGAGAGAATTTCTTGGTAAGATTAAAGCACTTTCCTAGAATTTATCAAGAAGCAGGCAAGCAAAATGTATTTATTAAAATAATTTCTATGTTTGGATTTTTTACATATTTTGAAAATGTATTAATCTAGGGAGGTGTGTTTTCCTCACGAAATCAAGAAAAAGAAGATCGCAGTGTTTTTTCTTTTTTAACTTTTAATTTAAATTCCAGTTAACATACAGTGTAATATTAGTTTCAGGTGTACAATATAATGATTCAGCACTTC